ATTAGTCAAAGGTTTAAACCCAGTGTATTCCCCATGAATAATCTCCCTCCCCTTCCCCCTCCTTCCTCCTGTCCACATCTAAATGCAGAATCCCCAGCTTCCTTGTCTTCAGTTTACAGATTATGCGATCCAAAGTGTCACTCACTGGATTACTGCACATAACCTGAACACCACCCGAAGCTTACTTGTCTTCAACTTGTCCAGCATTACTTAAATGGAATTATCCATCACAATCCATACACCGAATCTGCATAGCCCACTTATCTCAAGATTCTGTGTGTCACCTACCAGATTATCCGTTTTAATCCATACATTGAATCTACATAACATATGTCTTTAATTCATGGGCTCTGATGAGCTATAGTATCGCTGAATGGATTATTTCTCTTTATCCATTATTGGCAGTCATAAAACCGTTCACTCATGCCCCATCTTCTGAACACAGAAGCAAGATTAGAGTCTTCAGCAAACACAGCTCTATCACACATCAAACATAGGATGATATAATACCTGCACTGATACTTCACAGAACTTGGAACCCAGTTTCTCACACAAAACAAATGTCTGTGTTATTATACATTAAAGATTAGGATTGGTAGGCTAATCTCACTTTCAATTACACTTGCAAATCTGTGGTTGCTCCCATGCAGTCTTTAGAGGCACCTAGATGTAAGTGGCTACAACAAAGAGCTGATTTTACCCTAATGATGATCCCTTTCACAGTGAGTGCAGAAAACACTTCACCTGAGTTGCTGAGGAACTAACCTGTACAATAGAGAAGGATTTTCAAACAACCAAAAAATATCAGGTTCAGGCTTGCCTGGTCTTTCTTGAGAGATTCAGGTGCAATCACTGTTAACAATGCCTTCACCTCAACAGAAAACCAACTGGGAAAGATTAGAAACAAAAGTCAGTTCAGCCTTTTGTTCCACACGCCTATTCAAAACTAGCTAAGTGGGGAACATATAAAATATGCATTATTATTTCTTGACAACTCTCGATAAGCGAGAGATGGACAAGATTAGCAGAAAGGCTTTGTGTACGCTGGGGAAGTTTTTAAAGAGAGTTCTCATTACGGTTAAAGCTGCCTCGCTCACATCAGCGTTAGCAAGGCCGTGCACCTCATGATGCACCTGGCCACCTGAGGGGCTGGCACCATTCCCTCAGTCTTCTCAGAGGAGGCCCAACACCAGAGAAACTTCTAGAAGTTTCATGTTTGTTTTCTAAGTATAGGCACAGCCACTGACATTGAAGAGCATGGAGATAAACTTCTTGCACCTTTTCCTATCAACGGTCCACCCTACATGCTGCCTCTGCTGCAGCTGGAAACGTTGCTTTGGAGGGAAGCAACCACTTTTACCCTCCAATGCACGGGTATATCAGGTGGCTACGCTGAAAGTGGAAAGGAGGTAGAATGTTTCTTCCTGTAGATGATCGGTTTGAGACCTGAAGCTCTCTCTGCTCCACTGAATCCAATAAACTGCATTAGCCGTGAATACTCCAGAGGCCTTTTGAGCCCTGGTCTTGAATATGATGGATAGAAGTAAGTTTTACCAGGCTTTAATCAATTAAATATACAGTTTCACAGTTTTATTTTAAAATGTTTCAATTTAACAGCATGTTTTATGGGTTTTACTATAGACTGACTTGTTTTGAACAGAGTAAAAATTCCAGGGATTTCAAAACAAAATTTCTTAAGAAATCTCCAGTGCCAAACTTCTATTATTGATTTAGCCCCAGACTGCCTCTCTAAAGAAACAGGCATTTGAGTTAATATTTCCGCAGAGATGAAAGGTTCTAGATTTTGCCCCCTTTTAAGTACAAGAGTATTCCCTTGCAATACCTTTCAATCAAGCCCTGGCCTGAAATACTACATTCCCTTTGCCATTAGTAACTGGACAAACATAGATTCTTCTAATGGTCATCTTGGAAGTTTGCAGCTAGACCTCTGCAGACACTCAGTGATGGTTCCCCCCATTTTGCAGGCATGCAGATAAAGAAAGAGGGGCTTAAAGTAGCTGCCAAAAGTAACAAAGCAACTAACAAGAACAACTGAATGCAAAACGTCAGAGTCTGGTGACTTCCAACCATTCGTCAACTCCCCTGTCTTTAATAAAATATTAGTGCTAACTTAAAAGAAATAACACTAATAGAAAAGAAAGTCTTCCGCTTCATCTCCCTTTCTTTTAATCTCTCCCAGAGAATAAAACTCAATGGTAATAACACAGACTTGGGCATTAACAATATGTAGCCTAGTACTGAGACTTTAGCACATGACATACTAAAACTCCCCCAGATCTAATGAAAAACACAATGAAATTTTGAACAGTTAAATGGAAAAAACGATTCAGCGCATAAGACAGTTGGGCAGTACAGCTTCTAGTGCTGTCCACATTCCAGGGTGTATTAATAATAAGACGTTTTTTGTGTGGGGTTTCCAAATATCACTAATAGAGAAATGAGGGGGGAAAAAAAAAAAATAAATGTAGCTGCCAAACCAAATATAGAGAGAAGTTAATTAAAAAAATCACAACTGGAGAACTTAATAATTCCATGTTCCTATAGAAGGAAAAAAAAAAAAATTCCAGCATAATATATGTGTGTTTGTACACGCATACGTGAGTATAAAACAGCTCAACTTGCACACCTTTCATGTTGCCTCACTAAATACAGCTGCAATACAGCTGAGGCATTGTTTGTTGGCCGCTCATGGCTGGCGCTGCCATGAAAACCGCATTCCTGGGCACTAAATAATCAGCCTGCCTGACCCCCCAAGAACCTGTAAGTCAAATTCATTTACCCCCAGAGGGCAATGCTCTATTGTATCCTCCCTCCTTTCTAGCCACCTAGGAACAATGGACAATAATTGCAACTGTCACGGCAGTCAGTAGGAAAAATAAACCAGCGCCTGTTTTCACAGCTTACTGCCAAACCTGATCCAAACACCTAATAACCATGCCCCCAACCATAGAACCGCAGTTGCACTAAAAAGCCTCAGATGTGAAGCTTTTGAACAGAGCTACAGAACAATAACTCGACTTGTGTTCAAAATATGAAGCTAAAAAACAAAAATTAAAGCAAAGAAAACCCTTCTTTGAGGCTGTGCTGTTGCTCCCCATCCTCCCCGCGGGCAAGACTGAAAGGACTGTTGAATTTCTTTCGTGCTAGCACAGAGCTGCTGCTGCCGCTTTCAAGTTTAACTTGTGAAAGGGAAAGAGAGAGGGAGGGAGCAAAAAAGATTGCCCTCCAACAGAACAAGATCACAAGGACTAGGAACAGACCGCCTTCTCGGTGGGCAGCACTTCTCAGAGCAGCTTTACCAAGTCCACAGGCAACGGAGAATCGCTGGGAATCCTTCTGAAGGCTCCAGCATATCAGGAGTTAAAGAGGCTTCCAACAACATGCAAGAACTGCTGAAATACACACCCGAAAGTGGATATGAAAGCCGCCTGTGTACTTTGGGCCTGAAACATCTTAAAGATTCATCAGTTCATGGCAGACAACGATGTTATTTTAAAGCAATATGCTTTTAAAAACCAGAACTCGCAGATGAGCCCAGTGGCTACCCTACCTCTTTATGACCTGTTGCTTTACGCACGTAGAGAAAACGTGCTCAGTGGGAATAAAGAACTCAGGGTTTGGCCCTCTGTTATAATAATATCTCAGCCTATTTGGGGCCGAAGCACTATATTCTGTTTTAAAGTTATTCTACATATGCAATGAATATATATATTTGAATTACAGCCTCTTAGGGAGAAGCTAGGGGAAGCAAGTGGCATACTTTCCTCCTTGTGTAAGTCAGTGTGGACTAGCGCAAACCAATGCTGGCGGCTCATCGGTGACAAGCTGGAAGGCACATATGATTAAAATAACACTATCTTTGCACATGTACCAAGACATTATCCTCTTGAAGCACGTCATGGTGTATTCTTTACCGAACACTGCCCACCTCTCATGCAGAAGGTCCTTAAACCTGTCAGGCAGGAGGTTTGCGAGCCTGCCCGAATGAGGATCTTGGTATCAGGGACATCATTAGTAAGCAAACAAACAAGAAAAAAATTGAGAGATATGAAATCTCGTTTATAAACATAAAAGAAGGGTTTAATTTTAATCTCATTCTACTTCCACATTTCCAAAGCAACACTGGCTGTGATTTTGCTGCTCCAGATGTACACGGATATAAATGGGAGAAGAATCGGGGTTGTTGTTTCTTTTCAAAGTGATAATGGCTGCTCTAGAAACTAAAATTTTTGACATGTTTGAGTCAGCTCCTCATCGCAATCACTGAGGAAGAATTATAAAAGTAGTAAATTACATTAAAATAAACAACTACAGGTTCCCTAAAATTACCTCACATATATAAAATGGGGAAATGTCTTGGCAAAGCAGAAGCTACTGCTGCTGGAGAGTGGTCAAATTTTGCCATTTTCCTTCTGGAGTACAGCTTTAAAAAAAACACGCTTTAGTGCACAGATGTTGTACACTGTCTTTTAAAATCTGCACTGGCTAATTTCAGTACCTAGAGGAATCATTACACAAACTTTGCTTTTTTTTTTTTTTTCTCCCTACACACAGAAAAGTAAAAAAAAAAAAAAAAAAAAAAAAAAAATCTACATCATCAAAATCTGTCCAAAAATTCACAAGGACTTTTGATCACCCTCAGATTTCAGAAGCTGAGCTCTGCTACGCTCTGACACCAAGTTAGCCTGTGTTTGATATGGGAATTGACTTTTTTTTTTTTCCAATCCAGCAATAGGATGGAAACTCTTATAACACAGAACGATACAGGCAAAAAAAAGCTTTATGCAAGTTCATGCACTTAGGGCAAGAAACCATTTCATTTATTTGTACTATCACAGATGGAGAGCATATATTTCATTTAAGCCCTAAATTATGATGTTTCAAGGGGAGGGGAAGAGGAGCAAACAAACAAATTTCCATAAAGCCAGTGATATCTGTATGTTCATTCTCAATTTGCTTTAGCACAGAAACAGCGTTACCTTTTATTTCTCCAAAGTTCCCTGATCCCATGGCAAGAAGCTTGTCTTTCCAGTCCTTTGATAGTAGCTTTTCAATACTGGGAGTTTCTGAGTGAAGGGGGGGAAAAAAAATGTAAGCAAATCAACATGACTGTCTCCACAATAGAACTCATTAAAAGTCTATCTGCTAAAAATAAGGCCAACCCTATTCTGGGCCCCAGTTCATAATGACTTCATCAACAAACTGATAAGAGGGGAGGGAAAACAAAAAAAAAAAAAAAAAAAAAAAAAAAAGGGGGGGGGGGAAGAATGTGTTTTGTCACCTGCTGTTTCAAAACGATTAGCTTTTTCCTCTTGTGGAACAAAGCCCCTGTAATTCTGTATGACAATGGGCACATATAAACCTGCAGTTCATTGTTTTTCAATTTGGTGAACAAGTTGCTGCCTATAATGGATACCTGTCAATTTCTGGGTGTTAGTCTGCAGTCAAAAAATAATTATGTTGATAAAATGCAGAGTAAAGAGAGAGAGAAAAAAAGAGAGAGAGTGAGAAGCAAAGAATTAGCTCCTAAATCTGCTACATGTAATTATATCCCTCTGAGTGTTTACAATTACATCCACTTTATAATGTGTGTTTAAACATCGCGTGGTGGTAAGCATACTGTGGAAAGATTTTCCGGTAACACGCACATTATAAATAATAATAAAAAGTTGGGTATGAAAAAAAGCTTTAAGAGACTGCAAAAATCCAGAGGGAGAAAAGGCATTGCTTAGAATGGAAACCCATTATTTGCCCATTTCAGATTCTATCACTTCTTTTAAAAATAAAGTAAAATAATAAAATAAAATATATTTGTTCAGTATTTTCAGGAAAAATGCAGTGAAGGTGTGGATGGGTCTGATATTTATGTCTGTAACTCTCGTATTCTGACCTCTTTTTGTGTAGAATTTTAATGCATAAGTAAATATAAATGCTAATAAAATTCAGAGAACATTAAACTCGATTCCAAACAATGTAATTGTATATTCTTGTCAGCATTTAGATGGGTACACAATTACAATAGCTTTCAATCCCACGATTAGCACTGCATTCAGTTAGAAAATGGAGTGTACTAAAAGATAAGTGTCCCAGTATGCGCCATCTAAATAACAATACCCACACTTATTATCTGGATCTAAGACGTATACTGCTATTCTCCACATTTGTGTTTATGTGTATTTGTATTTGTTCAGGCATTTGTTTACCCCCTACCAGGAGCATAAAGGGAGTACATGTTAACTTATCAAAGGGACCGTCTGGCCTAGAGACCATACAATTATTAGCAACTGGTTAATTTTCCCCACAGTAAAAACCATTACGAGCAACCTTCATTATCTTGTTTGGCTAATTCCGCCTCTTTTCTTGACGCCCCAACTCCAGGCTCCGGGAAAGCTCCGCCGCACCCCTCAGCGGGGCGGGGGTGCCGACGGGGCGGGGTCCCGGCTGCGGGACGGCGGCTTCGCTCCCGCTCTGCGAACCGTCTGGGGGAACCGCGGGAGCCCCAACTCCCGCTACAGCACCCGCACGCAGAGCGGTATTCACGGATAAATAACACACGGGCACACCGATGGCCTCTTGCTTCACCCCGGGGCCGGCAGACTCCCCCCGGCACAGGCACATCCCCATGCACCCATCCCACTGCCAGA